ACCTTGTTTGCATAACACCTCTGTTTCTAAGATATTTGAATAATAACAAGAATACTGGTTAGCAAGAGGTTAGTCTGAAATTTATTCTTAACATAGAACCCAAGATGTAGCAATTGCATACCATATCAATATTTTATGGATATCATTTTTAAAAGTTTTTTATATAACTCTTGATTAACACATTCACTTATATATAATTACAAAAATGCTTGACAGTACACCTAACTAATTTTACTGACAGAAGTCCTGGGAAGAAGATAAGCCCGAGCCTCCTCTTACACATGTCCCTAGGGAAATAGTTGACTAGCAATTGAGTTGTTAGACTCATAGTTGATAGAATAACCCGAGAGATACTACTGCTAAGGCATTTAGTTTGTTAGACTTATCTGTCCACTGGTCTCTCATAAGCCCAAGAAGTACTTGAATAGCATGTTATCAGAGTATTAGTCCACAAAAGACCCGAGAAGTAGATGAATACATGCATTTGCATGCCTCCTGTCAAGGAAACACCATGACCACCATTCCTGAGGTCATCAATTTCTCTAAGATTGTTCATGCAGACCTTGAATATGGATATGTGATCTGCTATGTCATCTTCTGTGCCCTGGTGTTCAGCTGAAGCTATAAATTTTCAAAGCACTCTAATAGGCATCATCTAGAGAAAGGTTTTTTTATTATTATTATAAATGCCAGTTCGTCATTATTTTGACCAAGTCCTTCACCAAAACCAAATTTTGGAATTATGGATAAATTTGGACAATGATTTTCAGCGGTAGTCATCATAGTAAGCAAGGACTATAGGAGTTTTTGTGAAGGAAACATGTGACAAGGACATTCTCAAATCATGGAGAACTGATAAGCTAATCCTTTCTTTAAATTTCCTTACAGATATACCCCAATATTTCTTTCATTATAGTAAAGCTTTTACCAGTCAACTTAGCAGTGAGAAAACCATCAACTCACAAAAATGAACAATAATGGTTCCACACGACCCTCCTCTCACCCCAAGTTCTCCCTTTTGTCTGTGGGGTCCTTGGACCTACTACGAGTCCCTGTCCCTGTGTTGAGGACAACCATCCAGACCCGTGAGATGGTGCCATCCCATTGCAGGGCGGAATGTCCGGGAAAGGAGCACAGGGCCGCTGCAGCAGGAGCTGCAGGGGCTTCTTTGTTCCACATGACCCTGACTCCCCCAAGCCTGCCTTAGAGTCTGTGAGGTCCTTGGCCCAAGGACAGTTCCTCCTCCTGCACTGTGGCTATCCACCCACCCAGAGGGGTGAGTGTGCACCCGCCTGGCCAGAAGGGAGTGCAGGGCACCTCCAGCTCCTCCTGCAGGGGATTCTTTGTTCCACATGACCCTCCCCTCCTCTAAGTTCGCCCTTTTGTCTGTGAGGTTCTTAGCCCAGGAACAGTTCCTGCTCCTGCACTGAGGAGATCCACCCAGAGTCAGTCACAGCTTAGATTGGACCAAGATGCCAAGACTCTCCTGGCTGCATTTGAAGGAAGAGATGGGAAGGCACCAATGCAAGATTCCTCCAACAACCTGAAAGGCAGCATGACAACACCAGATTCCAGGGATCACCGCAACAAGAAGACTTGAACACCTTTTTCCAAAAGAAGTAGAAGAAATCAACTTTAAACGTAACATTATGAAAATAAAAGAGGACTTTAAACAGGATGTGAAACTGTAAAGAAATGGAGAAAATAAACAAAAAGGTAGAAGAAATGAATAAATCTCTCAAAGATACCCAAGAAAACCAAGAGAAAGCAATCAAACAGGTAATGGAAACAGTTGAAGACATGAAAAATGAACTGGTGGTAATAAAGAAAACACAAACCAAGGGAAGGCCGGATATGGAAAATCTGGGTAAATGAACAGGAACTACAGAGACAAGTATAATCAACAGAATACAAGAGATTGAAGAAAGAATCTCAGACACTGAAGATATTATAGAGGAAATAAACTCATTGGTTAAAGAAAATAACAAATCCAACAAATTCTTAACACAAATCATCCAGGAAATCTGGGACACTGTGTAAAGACCAAACCTAAGGATAATAGGGATAGAAGAAGGACAAGAATTACAGCTCAAAGGTCCAGAAAATATATTCAAAAAAATTATAGAAAAAAAATTTCCCAACGTAAAGAAGGATATTCCAATGAAGGTGCAAGAAACATACAGAACACCATCCTCTCTCCATATAATGATCAAAACACAAAACATACAGAATAAAGAATGAATATTAAGAGGTACAAGGGAAAAAGGTCAAGTAACATGTAAAGAGAAACCTATCAGAATTACACTTGACTACTCAATGGAAACCACAAAAGCCAGAAGATCTTGGATAGATGTGCTACAGACATTAAGAGACCATGGATGCAAGACCAGACCTAGCAAAGCTTGCATTCACCATCAATTGAGAAAACAAGATATTCCAGGAAAAAAAAACAGATTTAAAGAATACACAGCCACAAACCTGTCCTTACAGAAAATACTAGAAGGAAAACCACTAACCAAGGAAGACAACAACACCCATAATAACACAAGCATCTAAAAACCCTCCACCAGCACAACTCAAAGAAGGGAAACACACAAACACTACCACCAGAAAAAATAACCAGAGTTAGCAACCACTGGTCATTGATATCACTTAATGTCAATGGTCTCAGTTCATCTATAAAAAGGCACAGGTTAAGAGAATGGATACAAGAACAGGATCCAACATTCTGCTGTTTACAATAAACACACCTCAACCTCAAAGACAGACACTACCTCAGAGTAAAGGATTGGGAAAAGGTTTTCCAATCAAATATACCAAAGAAACAAGCAGATGTGGTTATACTAATATTTAACAAAATTGATTTCAAACTAAAATCAATCAGAAGAGATGGAGAAGGACACTTTATACTCATAACAGGAACAATTCATCAGGAGGAAGTCTCAATCCTGAATATCTATGCCCCTAATATAAAAGCACCCATATACATAAAAGAAACATTACTAGAACTCAAAGCATACATCAAACCCCACACTCTAATAGTAGGATGATAGGGGAGTTCAGCCAATCATATTCTGTTTTGGGGGCATGCTGCCTTCAGGCAAAAGCCTGCCTATAAACCTAGCAAGCGCGCTCTGTTAGTTCTCTTTTTCGCCTGGCTCCTGCGTCTGGACGGATCATTTGGATACTGGTGTAAGCTGTTGTAAGTCTTACTTCTGTTTATTAAAGCTGTATATTTTGTATCAAGATAGTCTGGGGACTTTTCATTACCAATTGCCCTGTGGCTACAGTAGGAGATTTTAACATTCCTCTCTCACCAATGGACAGGTCAACCAGTCAGAAACTTAACAGAGAAATAAGAGAACAGATGTAATGAACCAAATGGACTTAACAGACATCTATTCCACCCAAACAGAAAAGAATATACCTTCTTCTCAGCATCTCATGGAACCTTCTCAAAAATTGATCACATAATTGGTAGCAAAGCAAAAATCCATAGATACAAAGAAATTGTAGCAACCACCTGTGTACTATCGGATCACCATGGAATAAAGTTAGAATTCAACAATTCTACCCCCAGAAAACCTACAAACTTATGGAAACTGAACAGTCAACTACTGAACCACCTCTGGGTCAAGGAAGAAATAAAGAAAGAAATTAAAGTCTTCCTTGAATTTAATGAAAATAAAGACACAACATACCCAAACCTATGGGATACTATGGAAGCAGTGCTAAGAGGAAAGTTCATAACACTAAGTGCCCACATAAAGAAAACAGAGAAAACACACATTAGAGACTTAACAGCACACCTGAAAGTTCTAGGGAAAAAAAAGAAGCAGACTCACCCAGGAGAAGTAGAAGACTGGAAATAACCAAACAGAGGGTTAAAATCAACAAAATAGAAATATATAAAACAGTCCAAGAATCAATGAAACAAAAAGCTGGTTCTTGGAGAAAATCAACAAGATTGACAAAGTCCTATCCAAACTAATCAAACAGCAGAGACAGAACACGCAAATTCATAAGATCAGAAATGAAAAGGGGGACATAACCACAGACACAGAGGAAATTCAGAGAATCATTAGATCTTACTACAAAAGCCTGTATGTCACAAAATTTGAAAACGTAAAAGAAATGGACATTTTTTAAAGATAAGTACCATATACCAAAATTAAATCAAGACCAGGTGATCACGATAAGTCACAAGGAAATAGAAGCTGTCATCAAAAACCTCCCAACCAAAAAAAGCCCTGGACCAAATGGTTTCAATGTAGAATTCTACCAGAACTTCCAAGAAGAACTAATACCTATACTCCTTAATGTGTTTCACAATATAGAAACAGAAGAGTCATTGCCAAACTCCTTTTATGAAGCTACACTTACCCTGATACCAAAACAATCACACTGATTTCCAATGTGGTTGCACAAGATTGCTTTCCCACCAACAATGCGATGGGTGGACATAGAGACAGAGACCCATACTGGAGCAACGAACTGAGCTCCCAAGGTCCAAATGAAGAGCAGAAGGAGGGAGAACATGAGCAAGGAAGTCAGGACCGACTGCAAGGGGTGCGTCCACCCACTGAGACGGTGTGACTGATCTAAGGGGAGCTCACCAAGGCTGGCTGGACTGGGTCTGAACGAGCATGTCATTAAACCAGACTCTCTGAATGTGGCTGACAATGAGGGCAGACTGAGAAGCCAAAGATAATGACACTGGATTTTGATTCTACTGCATGTACTGGCTTTTTGGGAGCCTAGTCTGTTTGGATGCACACCTTCCTTGATGTGGATGAAGGTGGGGTCTTGGACTTCCTACAGCCAGGGTACCCTGACTTCTCTTAGGACTGGAGAGTGAGGAGGAGGGGGAGTGGAAGGAGTGGGATGGAAATGGGAGGATGGGAGGAGGTGAACATTTTTAATAAATAAATAAATAAATAAATTTCAAAAAATAAACAATTAAAGAGAAGAAAGGAACAAATAGATTAACGACCATGAAATAAATTAATTAAATGGCATTAGAATTTATTAAATTATAAATAACAATCTAGGATGTTAACATGTCAAATTCTTTAATTAAAATATATGCTCCTTCTAATCAAACAAACATCTACACTCGAGACTCTATGTATAAAAAAATTACTTCGTAGGTAATAAACACTTGCACTGAGAATTGGAAAAATCAATACAAAAGAACAAATTACATGTAGTAGATCCACTTATAACTGTCAAAACTAATTAAGTTATAGAGTATGAAATATGAGTTCTAAGGTCTCTATATATTTACCAACATATCAGTTTATCAAAATCAATCACTATAATCCACACACATCCAATTATTTTCCACAAACGTTGGATGTGAAAGAGAGAGATAAACACAGTAGGACCTGTAGTTCTGAACACCTCACTTCAATTGGAAAATCACTCAGGCAAAAATTTAGCACTAGAATTTAGCACAAACTCAGCTGGCTAAACAGAAAATTTCATTCAATGGGTACAGGATATGCAGTTCTCTCACCAGCACATGACACACTGCCCTGCATTCACAATGAATAGAGCCACAGAAACAATTCTCAATAAACTGATACAAATTAAAAGTATAATTTATTATCATAGTATAATAAACCACAATTCAAAATTAGAGACATTGTAAGTTATACAAACACTGAATTTAAAAGTATTATTTTTTTATAACCAGTAAACCAAGGAAGAAAATAAAAAGGAAATAAAATAGTTTCTTGAAATCAATGAAGTATGGAAGCATAGCCCATAAAATCCTGTGAGGTATGACATCAGCTGAAATGAGGAATATACATGCCTACATAAAACCAGAAAATATTCAGTAAATCTAAATGGTAACACGGACAGACACAGATCAAACATAAAGAAAACGAGCTACAAAGCACAATCCATAGGGAGACATATGGAAAATTAAAATTTGGGCTCATTCTTCTAAACTACTATTAAAAGAAGTCTCTCTATTTAATGAGATATTTACACAGGTATTATCTATGGTATTAGACTTTTAACATTTAGGATGCTAGCAAATACAGTTTTAAATAATATTAATGCCTTACAAATTTCTATTTTCTTTCAGTTGCAAAATTTTGTTTCGCTAAATATTGGAAAGCTATAAGTGCTTCCATTTTCTCAGTTGAGTTAACACTAATCTTCATCAACAGAGAGCACTGGAATACACACTTTAAAATAGTAAATATTTTATATGACAAATACTTACTATTAGTATTTCTGAATTATTTTAAGTCATCTTTATTGATGGCCAGACCAAGACCAAAATTTAATCTCCAAAAGGTATCTTCAATCCCAACTTCAGAAAAATAGTTTTGAGGCAAAACCAACAAAGATACATCAATATTAGAAGAGGGACAGAATAACCTTGAAATGTGTTTCCTGTAAGAACATGGTAGTTATATTAGAGATAATTTTTCAGTTGTTTTAGTGAATATATTCCAGATGATGGTAAAGGCCATGGAAATCACAAATGTGTTATGCAGGCTGCCCTGACTGTTGCGAGAGGAAAACATAGGACTGAGAACTGTCTAACCACACACAAAATGGAGCCAGAACTGCTCTCTTTTTCTGGTAGAGTTGGGTTCAGTGTCTCCTCAGTCCTCTTCCCTCTACTTTGTTACTTTAAAGAAAATCTGACTTGTCACTTTTTAAACAGATCATTTTCTTGTTTATTCTTCTTCTTCTTCTTTTTGACTGTAACTCAATGTCCATTTCCTTCAGCTTTACTTTAAAAAGCGATATATCTGAAAATTTATAATAAATAGTAAGACCTATTTTCATTTGGTAAAAAGGTTGATATTTCGGTGGTTATCATTGTTCTGAATTTTAGTGCATTGATAAATTACTATGAAATATAATTATGTGGGAAAGTAAAGATTCAGAATTGTTAACCTTTAACTTTTTAACCTTTAGCTGTTAGTTTACGTAGATAAACTAAGTAGCCTAATATCTTCAAAGACAAGATGGATACTCTTGCTGCACTGGATACACACTGTTAGAATTTGATTGAATAGTCCTGCCCATCATGGCCAGAGGTCACATCCAATATTTTTAAGAACCCTATTCTCTTTTGTTCTTTTCTGAGTTTGCAAAGAATCGGTAAACAGTCAAGCAGCATTTTATAGCAAGGAAAGCCGTGGTTGCCACACAGGCCAGCAGGAATGCAATCACATCCAGAGAGTGGTACTGGTACCAGGTGAGGTTGTGTGCAAGTGGCCTCAGGTGCTTGGCCCCTTTGTGGCGCATGACAAACTCAATCCAGAAGATGGCTCTGTCCAGGGGTTTCATGGGCTGGTCATGGTGAATAGTTGACAACCTCATTGCATTCTCTTTATAACTAAAAGAAATGTGATGGAAATTAACTTAGAGAACAAATTAAAAACACACATGTATGTTTTCCCTCAGGTAGTAAAGATGATTACACTAAATGTAGAAGGAAAATAAACTATTTTTGTTATCACTCATCATTAAAGAGGTCTTAGTATTCAGGCCAAAGCCTGTGCACAAAACGATGAATGCAGATGAAAAAGATAGAAAAGCCCCAGTATTTGTAAGCAACAGACTTGACCACTAAAGCCCTAAATATAATTAAAAATTAAGTAGAATAGGCCTATCATTTGGGTGTTAAACTAGAGTTAGCTGGTAAGCAATCATTAGTTTGCCAGGTGTATAAAGTTCATGTTAGTGTCAGAGATTAGAGACAGGAAGTAAATCTCTGTTTACTTAAAAAGTGGTACCTGGGTGGGGAAAGCTGTGGGGATTGGGACTGTTTTGGACTTTGTATTGACCATTTATCAGCAATTGATTATCACTATCTTTGTGGGCAGCTTGTTTTACTTAATTACTCTGATAGGTTTTTTTCCTGTCCTTTATACACCTCTTTGATAATTTGATTCCACTGGTAAATTATTATTATCTTGGAGAAAATCTTTTTGCTTTTGCAGCCGAGGATGTGGCTAATCCAGCCTGAATAATGTGTGCTATAGCATTACATGGCGGAATGGCAACAGAGGTAACATCCTTCCCTGATTTTATAAACATCATAGTGAGAGGATTTTTTTTTCATGTGAGAGTGGTAATCTTAATGAGTTTTATAACATAATGCTTAATTTTTTCAAATCAAAGAAAACAAAGTGTATTTCAGGAAGTCATGGTTTAAATAACCAATATCTCCTAAAATCTTGAAATTATTGTTTATAAATGTGTGTGTTTTATCACCTCTGTACAAAGTGTTTTATTTTTATTTAATTTCAGAAAAGAAGAGGAAAAATATAAAAATATTTCTGATGAGAAGATAGATGACATAATACAATTAATATTAATATATGTTCTGAAGATTTAAAAGGTGAGCTTTCCTACTTTGGATAGCTTATGTTTTAAATAGGTGTTTTCCAAGTTATAATTTTGAGGAGAATATTTTATCATTATTATCCAAATAATGCAAACAATCCCTGAAACCTAAAAATATGCTCACATTGAAAAGTAGCATCATCTCTCTCCCACTGATGTTAAAGGGGTTAAATCTAAAACCCTAGTTGTTTGTCATTTATCAGTAACAGAATCAAAATATTTCCCCAAAATACCTTGGGAGTATTAATTACTATTAAAATGAGAGTTTGATTGTGTCTGGTTCATTAAAAACATAATTATAGGAGAATTTTGAAAAAGTGAAGAATTATATGCAAAATCAAGTTTTGTTAGCATTTGTTTCACTAAAATAAGGTTTTAAAAATATGCAATTATTCTAAAGAAAAGGTTATGCACTTTAAGTATTCACAATTCTCTTATCTATTTTTAAGATTTATTTTATTTTATGATTCTGAATATTCTGTATACATTAATGTTTTGCTCATTATGTAGTGCCTGTTATGCATGGAGACAAGAAGAGGATATGTAATATTCTGTAAACAGGACTATATAAGGCTTTGAGGACCCATGTGGGTCCTGGAGACTGCGACCAGGTCCTCTGGAAGAAAAGGAATTTTCATATCAACCAAGACGTATCTCAAATTTTGAGTTATTACATGATTTTCTCTACTGATGTCTAAGGCTAAAAACCATAGTTGTGATAAAATGATTCAGATTTACATTTTATATTAATGTCTCTCATTATCAGTGTCTTCCTGCTTCTTCTTGTAATATACCCCTACTCAATTTTCATGATTATTTGCATTGTACTTATGAATTATCAAAATTTTGTAATGTACTTCAAATTCTGGCATTTTTGTCCACTCAAAAACAAACTAAGAGGAGAATTGTTCAAGGGTGGTAGTACACATTTATAATCTTAGCCCTCTGAAAGACGAAACAAGAAAATTGAAATTTAAAAAAAAACTCATCTCTATACATAGTCAGACCTAGGCAAAAGCCCAACAGACAACAAAAGTAATGTCAACTGTGACAATATACTGATTGACCTTTGTCATTTTTATTTTTGTCTTTAACTACCCTTTTGTCATTCAACAAGTAGTTAAGAAATAGTGAATGTATAAATGAATAGCTAACTAAATAAAATGAGATAAAGACAGAGATCACTGGTAAAGCACATGCCTATCATGCAATATCACGTTCAAAGTTAGTACAAATAAGTCAGTAAATATGTAAGTAAATATGGAAAAGGTTATACTCACAAAGGGTTGTTAATGACTGCCTTCAGTGCATTGCGCAAATCTGAGCTGGACATAGTAGTGAATTCCAACCCAACAGCAGCACCTTTGACTCTCATGTGAGCAATGTTATCATGTTGTTCCCCAAATAAGGGGATGCCAACCATGGGGAACCCATGATGAATTGCCTCATAGACGCCATTGACTCCACCATGAGTTACAAAAGCTTTTGTTTTGGGATGACCTAGCATCAGATGAAAGACAGTCAATACCATTAGAGGACTTTCTGTAAATATTATGTCTTGCTTCTGTATTTAAATTGCTTTTGTAGCAACAGACACCTAAGTTCACATACAAGACAATGAAGAGTAGCAGCTATTGCAGGTGGCCAATGACTTGAAAAACGAAAACCTGCATGTCAATTGAACACTCAGAAACCATTTAGCAGAGAGAAGAAAAATACTGTGATAAAAGTCCAATGTACGTGTCAGAACACGTGCTTTTAAAGATACAGTAGGTCCACTCCGTCTGGCATGGCAGTGTTTAAAGGAATAAGGGGCACATATGAGTCACAGGAAGTATGCAATAACTTCATGATAAAGACTGTCAATTTTTGACCACTTATAAAAGAGTAATATTAAAACGGAATGAAGAATACTTCTTAATGGTATTTGGGAAACCTTTACTTCATTCAGAAAAGAAAGTGTGATATGATAACTGAACTAAAGAAAAAGAGTTAAACACTGG